CGCCAGGAGGCGCGCAACCCTAGTACCTAACTAGTAGTAGTAGTAGTAGCAGTAGTAGTAGTAGTAGCAGCAGCAGCAGCAGTAGTAGCAGCAGTAGCAGCAGTAGTAGCAGTAGTGATGATAGCAGTAGAGGTACAGTATAGAAGTAGCTTCTTGAAGGGCCCCCGACTCTGCACCCATCGCACCAGGGTTCGCCATGTGCTGCATAAACTGCTCGGACCTTGCGCAGCGCAGATCTAGCGAAACAGGTGGACAGTGACGGTGTCCGGGTTCCTGGCATGGTCGGACCAGGACCTGGTCCCATTCTTGGCCTGGCATCTGACCAGAAACCCGGCAAGGGCCCGGCGCCAGAAGCAGGCCGGTGGTTCCCACGCATTCCAGGCCCAGCTTGCCAGGCATCTTCTAGCTCCTGAGACCGGAACCGCTCTCACGCTTTACCAGGCCACTGACAGCTTGAGTTCGTGGCATTTCGGCCCATCATCGGATCCATCATCTGCCCTCCGAGGCCGCCAAGCCTGCCAGCGGCGAAGCCAGCGGTGCAGCGGCGCGGATGGGGGAAGCTGAGCTCTGCACGGCGGCCTCACCCAACGAATGCAGATGACATCAGGCGACACCACTTGCAGCTTCACGCGTGCCTCATCCCGCCGGACATGTAGCCTTCCCGCATTTGCTGCGCATGGTGCTGGTCCTCGGCAGCACAACAAGCTGTGGGCAGAGCCATTCGACTGAGGTCGCCGAGGGCGGGACTCCCGTGAGAGAGTCGAAGGCTCTGGACAACGGGTTTCCCGCAAGGCCGTCGACGCTGCAGCCTCGCGACCCACACGACCCACATCTTCACACATGGAACCCACAAGTACTCTCCGGAAGTCGGCCGAGCGAGAGGCTGTCGGGCTTGAAGAAAGGCCTCATGGCACCTCGCGGCACGACACGTTGGGACGAATTAAAATCAAGTCCTTCAGAGAGCCGCTATGCCCCAGGCTTCAAAGATGAAGACGCGCTGAAGGTCTTCAAACGTTTTTTGAATTTCCGCGCAGTGGTGAGAGCTTGTTCATTATCCGTTTAAGCTTGCTTATCAGCCCTTCGTAGAGAAAGCTCCTGCAATCTGACCGGGTTTGGACTGTGCCAGTATGGATTGAGTTGAAGTGGCCGCGTGCATGCCTTCAAAAGCAGCATGGAGCCGACACGGCTGCAGGACACTACCCGATTCAAGGAGAAGGAACTCGGAAACCTGCGGAAGCTTCCTGGTGTCATGCAATCTTAGAATGACGTAGTGCACCCCCACCCCCGTGCTGCTGGTTGTGGGGAGGGCAGGAATGTCTCTTTCAGCCTGTCTTCGCCTACTTCAAGTACACACTTCTGCGTGAGCCTAATGCTACGAGTGCACATCTGTCCGGGGTGCGATTACCAGGACCAGAACATCTGAAAGGAGCACCCTCACCAAGTGCTTCCGGCGCTTAAGCGCCAGAGGACACCTTCCTTCCCTTGTTCGCAGGGCGCAGTCACATTAGCCTTCCGGCTTTGATTCTCTGATACTATGGCTTGAGAACTTGGCTGCCTGCTCCGAAGGAATGGACTCATGCTATGGTGAACCGAGCTACTCTAAAGCTAAGATAACGAGTGAAACTGCCACGATCTACGAGGAACAGCCACTGCCAGGCTGGCATCGTGAGCCTCTGTTCCATTGTTGAGGGGGAATCTGCCTCGAAACATGCTCAGAAGCACTTGTGGCGTGAGCGTTTACCTGCGACTCGGACGGTGCACGAGCATGACATTCGCAGTTCGAGACATCTGGAACTCCTGATGTTGCCGCACCGCTCAAACACGACTGCCAGAGAAACGATGATGCCTGGTCAGCGCATCATCAAGTGGTGGGGTGGATACTGCATCGGCGGGGAGAAGTGCGGATGGTGACCTCAGCGACGATTGCCGTAGCCAAGCATCGCGGCACTCGCTCGAGCATCCGTGCTTACTTCGGGGCACCGACCGTAATACTGATGAGCGTTGTACTGCATCATCTCGGAGGGCCCTCTCCCAGGAAAATTGCCAAATGTCCTATCCATGTCGGTCGAGAGGCCTAGGTAAGCTTCTGGAGATCCATAGGGCGGCATGGCGCTTCCAGGCACAGCTCCTCACGAGACAGTTTTGCAAGGCTTTCGAGAACAGGCGAGGCGGCAAAATGTCCTGGCGGCATGCTTGGCCTTAGGAACTTCAGGCACTGTCAGGTACAGAAAGCATTCATCGCAAGAGACCTACACTCCCGTCTCGGCCGCTCAGGTGCACGCGGATGGTGATACATAGAGGCGGATGCGGCCAGAGTTTTGCCCACACGCTGCAGGATTCCCTGAGGTGAGTGGCATTGGGAGGATACGCGGATATACGCGGTTCCCTTTTCTGAACTGATGAACCTCGCCACGTTCAAGGAGATCGTTCACATCGATGTCCTCAGACAACTCTGCCACGTGATAGTGCTCTAGCTGATGACGACTTAGCGTGGCATGCAGGTGCTTGCATGCGCATTCGGGTAGCACCTGAGTTGTGTGTGGTGCACGAAGCCCATGCCGCTCTCCTGTCCTGTTGGGCAGACTCCTCCAACGTCGCAGCAATCTGTGCAAGATGCTCGTACATCTGCTTTGCGTGCCTCAGGGCTCTTGTAACAAAAGGTAAGGCTACTGATCTGATACTGCAGCAGACCCCCGACCCTTTCGTAAGGGCGAGAAAAAACTCACCAAACCAAGTGTCTTCAAACCATTGCAGCTCGAAGAATGACTTCGGGGCAAGAGGAATCCTGGATTCGCGGGCAGTGCCTTTCCTCGGGATGCTCCGAGCCGGCGAAGGAGCCGAAACCTCTTTGGGCTTCGGCAATCGGGTCTTTTGCCCTTCAAGTCGCGGTCTCCTGTCTTTGAGGAGTGGTCGGTTAGTTGGACCCCGGAAAGTGCAATCAGAATTACATCCATTGGACAACTGATTTCAGGATGTCTTCTTGCGGACGGCCGTGCTCCGTTCACTGCTGCTCTTTGCAAGCGTGAACAGGTAGCCACCGCCCACGGACAGGACGCAGCCCAGTGCCTGGCACAACCGACGCCACTTGTAGCAGTGCAGGCACAGGCTCCCACACTGCACCCACAGTATTGAGCATGTTGGCGTCCCTGCACACTCCTGGCAACTTCACGGCTAAATACAGCAGCAGGCCTTCAGCAGGCTCATTTCATCTCCGTAATAAGCGGTCAGCACCACAATCATCAAGGCCTGCGAACACATCGCCGCCGGCCCTTCCATCAACGTCATGCTTGAAACAGGTTTCGGAAGCGGTCATCTGGCCTTCACCACAGGCGTCAACACGGAGAAGGCCTCCGCACTTTCGAAACCCACATCACCATCACAATTGCCGTGTCTGCCGAAGGACCTAACGGAAGATGCCTCTCGACGTCAGCTACTGATTACTGATGTCGGGTGCCGATTCTGATGCAGGCCACCAGCGGGCTGAGCTGGGTCATCACGAGCAACTGGACAAACCTAAGCAACATCTCCGCAGATGACCTTTCTAGCTGTTTCTTGTCTGGCTTCTGTGCTTTTCGCAATCTGCGAATTAAAACTCTCCATCCAAGACTCTGGTACAAGAAGAAGAACGTGCTGCTCGCAAGCATATCCTTAGAGCTGTTGCCAACAAAGGTTCTCACACCTTTACCATGCAAGGGAACTTTAGGCGAAGAGGAAACAACGACGTAGCAACTGCTGTTACACCCATCTCGGACCCTGATGCCCTGATGATGACAACGCCTCTCGCTGTCCAGTCAGCACATGCGCAATACAAAAACAAGTACACCCGTCCAGATGTATGGTATGATACGGTATGGTATGGCACGGTACGGCACGGTGTGGTATGGGCAGCGTATGGCAGGGTACGATGGGTATGGTATGTTATGCCTGTATGTATGTATGTATGTATGTATGTATGTATGCATGCATGTATGGATGCATGCATGTATGTATGTAAACATGTTTGCATGCATGCATGCATGTGTGTATGTGTGTGTATACATCTATACATGTATGCATGCATGCATACATACATGTTTTGCTATATGCGCACCCAAACAGACTGGCAATTAGTGCAAGAAAGGATTTGCCTCTCAAGTTGCCATCCATGGACCCCAGACCGGACTTGCTCCGAGACGCCGCTGCGAAGATCCATAACTGGTCCGGAGCCAAGCCCTGCCTGAGAGGGTCTACCCTAAACCCTAGACCCTAAACCCTGAACCCTAAACCCTTCAGTTGCAGTCAGAAGCCTTCCAGTCCTCTGGATCCTTTGCATGCTACAGCTGACACAACCCCGGCGCCAGCCGAGCGGCAACGTCGGAAGCACCTGTCCGTGGCTGGAGGGAGGTCAGAAGCACTAGATTCCCGGAGCAAAAAGGCACCTGGGAACCCTCCAGAGGAATCTGCAGAAGAGGTAAGACCAAAGTTGCTGTCCAGCTGACCTCTCGGAAATGAGTGGGAGCGGTTCGCGAGAAGACTTTGGAGCTCGAGCTGTGCACTCACCGGGCCCTGGACGTTGAAGAAAACGGCCAAATCATCAAGCCTGACTGCCCGAGCTCTCGTTCAGAAGAGTGTTTCTGTTCACGTGAACACATCTGCAACTGTCCACCAAAGAGCTTGTTCTGCGGGTTGCGTCGAAGCCGTTGCAAGCAGAAGGACCGGCCTCAATGTGCGAAGCAGGTGCGTGCACATATCCCACTCAAGCATTGGCATTGTCGAGTGTCAGTGGTGCATGCACGTTCCGACTTCGAACCTGTAAGACAGCGACGCACCCGACACAGAACAGACTCGCCCGGCTGTAGCAATTTCAACGAAATCCTCCCTCTCCTACTGTGCACCTTGCTTTGCGCCAATGATCGAACTCGAGAAGCCCACCGGGAACAGAAACCTAAACCTTTGCCCTCCAGTTGTAGGGACGCACTTTTCTGGACGAGCCGAGCAACAGCAGAATGCCACGTTTGAAATCATGGCAAGGCAAATGCCGGTGGTAGAAAGGCCTCCGGAGGTCAGTGATGCCATGGCAACCTTGTCTCAAGCACAGGTGCGACACCAAAGACCGTCGATACTGGCAGCTGCTAGAATGAGTATTGCTGGCCGCACCTTATATCAATCTGAAAGGTATTGCTTGAGTATCTGAATGAGCAGCCGGACGAAAATGATCCTCATGACTAGTGACTAGTGTTATCGCTACCATCAACACCACCCGAACACCAGCGGCAGCACTTGCGCAGAGAGTTCCGCAGCAAACGCTTTGCCAGAGATTGCCCGAATACTCTGATGACTTACTGCGCCCCCTGCTACAAGCTCGATGCAAGAGCACCTGGGTCGAACTTCTGTCTGACGCAGGCAAGTCACTCCGCCGCATATGGGCACAAGTGTGGCTAGCACCTGCCACGAAAACCGCTGCCCCAAGCCAGCTCCCACGCAGACGGTAGCCACAGGCTCCATGCAACCTTTGCCGCGCAGATAGAATGGCCCAGCACTTGGTGCGCAAAATGCACATCCAGATCAGAAAAAAACTCACTTCCACATGCGGGTTTAGATCTGCAAGATGCTTGCAAGCGGGCGTCGAATGACGTTGACCATGCCCGGACTCATGTACAGGGCTGCTGCGTTGAACATCACGAAGCCTCCCGTCCACCTGAGTTGTGCAATTTGATTCACTGCGGGCCGATTGCGAGAAGAGTAAAACCTCATTCGCGAGAAACCCAACTAGGCAAGGCATGTCTAGGCAGCTACCCCAAGCAGACGAAGTTGCAATACCAAGTCAATGTCGTTCGAGGCTGAGATCACTTCAAGGCTACAGACTCTGCGAAAAAGCCGAGCAGCACAGCACTCAGTGGCAAAATGTCTGGCAGCACAGCCCGCGGTGCCAAAAGCCGTGGCGCACCCTTACTCACGGCTTTGGAGGCCTTGGCCAAACGGCGGGGTCCAAGGGAGCTTTGACACAGTAGGCAGCTCTGGCGGCTAAGCAGGGCTTCTTCAGCGTGCTGAAACAAGGGATCAGTTTGAGAGCTAAGACACTTGCAATACAGCAAGAAAGTGTTTCAGAGCAGAAGACACTAATTTGGCCAAGACACAGCAACACAGATAAAGGCTTCTTCGGGCGGCCATTACACGTACGTCGACCCAGCGTCCCGTGTGGATATCACTAGCCGTAGTAGCAGTAGTAGTAACAGTAGTAGTAATAGTAGTAGTAGTAGCAGCAGCAGCAGCAGTAGTAGTAGTAGTAGCAGCGGCAGTAGTAGTACTAGTAGTAGTAGTAGTAGTAGCAGCAGCAGCAGCAGCAGCAGTAGTAGTAGTGGTGGTGGTGGTGGTAGTAGATGTAGTGGTAGTTGTCGTTGCCCTGGTTAGTAATAGTGTCTTGGTTGAATGCTGACGCCAACAGAATGCACTTCTTCGCAAAGCTGGCTCTCCCGTAGGCACACGGTTGGACACACACACACTCTCTCTCTCTCTCTCTCTCTACCAGGCTTGGGGCTCGGGGCAGGTCAAACCCCTCACCCCGCACGCGAACGCGCACCTGCATGTCCTGGCAGGTTTTGAGATACCTCGACGGGGGATTTTCGCCCGAGAGCTCAGCTGTACAGCCTCGTAAGATGGCAAGTCGACACCACTCAAGCAAGCACACGATACGAAGTAGTGCCACCCTATGACAAGGTATATGTTTCCCCCACACTCTCTCTCTCTCTCTCTCTACCGGGACAGGAGAGGCAAGGACGAACCCTACCCCTCCGCGCGCGCACGCGCACCTGCGAGTCCTCTCTCTCTCTCTCTCTCTCTCTACCAGGCAAGAGGGAACGGGCGGACACCCCCTCCCCCCCTCGTGCGCGAGCGCGCACCTGCGGTCCACGGCAGGGTTTTGAACTCCCCACCCCCAGTTTTGACTGTGAGGGGCTCGGCTGTATGAAAAGAAATGCCCTCGGCCACACGCCCCTTGTTATGGCTTAACGAACAGGATCACAAGACACAGAAGTAAGCTAAGGCAGCGACAAATACGAGGGCTGACGTGTTTGGGCTGGCTTGCTCTCTTGCTTGCTTGTTAGGGGTATGGGGGCGAACCCCCCGGCCCGAAGGCCAACCCCACAACGGTCCGCGCTGGTATCTGATAGGCCTCTTTCGGCGAGAAGGAAATCTGTTCCCCCCAGTGTACCTTTGTATCCCCATCCCCCAAAACACCCCGCTTAAGCACCATAACCATGAAATACCTTGTCGGCGTTACTGGGGTCATCCAGCTCCTTCTGGGACAAACTCGTTGCATTCCGGAGGAGCTCCACTCCCCCAGAAAGGCAATTGGTCCGGTGTCATGTGCTGGAAGCGCAACAGAAACACAGGCTTTTACTGCGAAGCCCCCTTAGTTCAAACTTCTCTGCACACGGACCTGGTGTCAGCACTCTACCGGACTAACCCGACCTACCTGCCTCCCCACCTGAGCCCGAACGGAACCTCACGGGCAAGCCTCTCTCTTGCTTGGTTGCTTGCTTGGGGTTTGAGGGAAAACACCCCCCGGCCCGAAGGCCAACCCCCCAAAGCGCGCGGTGGTTTGTCTGCGTGGCCCCTTTCGGGGGTGGGAGATGAGCACGTTCCCTTGAATGAGCCTGGTAACCCAGCCCGAAGCACACCCGTCCTGAACCCTGACCGTGAACAACCAGCAGGCTTCACTCAAGCTTCGTTGCCCCCCTGCCTCTGCTAATGTTGGAAGGGTGTTAGCCCAGGCCAGCGATCACGAAGAACCACAAGGAAACAAGCAAGTTATTGAAACACTGTGCTCGGACTCCCGCCTTCCCGGGAGTTGCAGGAGCTCCACTCCCCAACTTCCATGACCGTTCTTCGCTAAAATCCCGGCCTGACCTGCCTCCCCACCTCATCCCGAACAGAAACCTTGCGCAACACTGCCTGTGCCTGCCCACCCCCAACCCTGAACCTCACATCGCCGTTTTTGCGGCGTTGGCTTAGCGGCCGCAAGGGAGTGTTGCTCACAAGTCGGGGATGCAATCGCAAGGATTCCAGACCCTAGACAACGACGCTACTACAAGGCAGAACACCTAAGCAGCATATTCCCTTGCAGCGCTCCTCGACTGTGTCTGCAGTCCCCCTAAGCCTTGCTTGCTTGCTTGCGAATGGCTTAGAGGAGCGAGGATCGTGACCCCCCCTCCCCACGCAGTGCGCGCAGCCATGTTCTTGCCCCCTAAGCCTCCCTCTCTCTCTCTCTCTCTCTCTTTGCTTTGCTTTGCTAGGGTAAGAGGAGGTGGCAGACCCACCCCCCCGCGCTCCTAGGCGCAACCCTGTCCATCATGTTGTTGGACGGAGGGTCACTGTACCAGGGACTGGTTGTGCAACGGAGAGCTACGTTGAGTGCCAGGCAGGTCAGAGGTACGACGGTATATGGATGAACAAATCAACAAACATTGAGTTCCCCTCGGTGGCTTGTCTCTCCACAGTGTGATCCTTTGTGAGGGCAGCTGGTGGGCACTTTCCAAGCTATTCCAAGCATACACCAATACTCCCCCTTAGATGGTAGCTAACACTTCAGAAACTTGCGTGCCCCCCAATGGATGTCCGGCTACTGCTTTCGGGAACCCCCAGCCTGACCTGCCTGACCCTGCCTTCAACCCGAGCTCAAGCCTCATCCCGGTATGACACTGCCTGCGACCTTTCGCTCAACCCTGACGCCTCGCAGTTGGGTCACTCGTATGATGAGGTAAGGAAACACGATGAAATCCCCGCTCAGCAGCACCGTGCAGGCGCAGACCGCCGCCACTGTCAGAGCAGTGGTCACGCCCAAAAGCTCTCGCGTGGCTGTCGTTTCCTTCAATACGTGGCTGGGGCTTTCTGGCCTTGAGCCAAAATGGCTACAGCCTCTCTCTCTCTTCTTCCTTCAGGCGTACGGGGCTCGATACCCCCCCCCCGGCCCTTGGGGGCCCCCCTCCACGTCCGGGGCTTGTCGGGGGTGGACACACAGTACCAAGGCATCGCGGCGTTCCCCGGGTCCCCCGAACCCAAACCAACGAGCTTGGGGATCGGGTCACTGCGGCCTACGGTACCGGAAAAGTTCCCCGGTCTTCGGGAAACGCGGGTTTTGCACAGGGCTTCATACGTATGAGCAGCAAGAGATGAGAAATGACACCACATAGAAACGAGCAGCAAAATATGAGAAAGGACATCACCTAGTTTCTGGCCCCTCTTGCTCCCCCGATGCAAGGATCAGCACAAATGCAAGGACACCATTACCAGCTGCTGAAGTAGGTTGTGGGGCGAAGCATTCTGTCACGACCGGAACTTTCTCTCTCTCTCTCTCTCTCTCTCTCTCTCTCTCTCTCTCCCTCTCCCTCCACTTTCACCGGGGTAAAGGGGTCTGTCGAGGCCCCCGCACCGACAGGTGCGCCCCTGTTGTTGGGCCTTGTGGGGGAGAGCGAGACCCCATACAAGCCTGGGAAAAGACATTGACATGGTTTTTGTCTCTATCTCTTGCCATCCAACGGTCTCGCTATGCAAGAGTTCTGACTTGCATTCCAGTGGCGGCTTCATGTCGGGCAGCGCCAAGCTGCCTATCACGACCCAAATTACCGAACACTTCCATCTAGACTGCACAGTGAATGCGTAGGCTGTTCAGGCTACATCGACAGCATTGCAACACTTACTTCGTGGAAGCAACTCTGCACGGTGGAATCCACTTGAGCTCATCTTCGTTTTAATCTTCCTTAACGAGAGCAACTACGAAGATAGCATGCACGGGAAAATCTGACCTGCAGATAGTCCTCGGGCGGAGGTGAGCTAGTGTCGGACGTCATCGCATGAACACCCGTGATGAGTAGTAAATTCATGTAATAATAATCGGGCCCGGTGCATGCCTTGTCAACTGCAGGACACTCTGAGGCTGTGCCGGGCGCATAGAGTGGCTGCAAATTCAACGACTGGAGAAGCACTAGAAGCTGCAATGCAATGGCTTTCAGGGGCAAAGCGGGAAGCCTTTGGCTTCCACTTGGTACTCTCGTTGCTGGGCCGAGGTACTTGAGCTGATTGGCAGTCAGCTCATGGAAAAAAAAAGGCTGCACTCCATGCTTCGCACTGGAATGCGGAAGATGGTATCTTGTTCGCCGAGAGGCGAGAGGCCTGGGCCATCCTAGTACCCGTCACACCAGCAACTTCCCCCACGATGCCATGCAGTCAGGCGACTAGCAGAGCAAATCAATGAACGGATGCAGTGTTTACATGTAAGGAATATTACCGCATAGGTCCGGTAAGTTTACGGGATGCGATTCTTGCTTGCAAGTACGCCTGTAGGCGGTCAAACACCACCGTCCGAACACATCATCTGTGATTTCATTGTGCGATAGGCACGATCATACGCTAAAGCCTACAACATCCGAATCAGCTTTGGAAGAACTGCGCGGGCGGGAGCCCACTACCCGCCTAGGCGAAGCCGGGGCCTGAGCTCACGAGAGACTCGGACACGAAGAACTTGCAGACTGCAGACCTACGGCATCCTACGGCCTACGGACCTCCTCTGACAACGATCTTCCCCGGCTGCTTCGCGGTTTTGGCAATGGTGGCACCTTTACAAAGCAACGTCGTGGCAAATCTTGGGGGACGCTGCGCCCTGGCCTCGTCAGACAACGATTTGATATTACCACGATTCATCTGCTTCGGTGGCGTGGGCTCCTTCCATGAAACAAAGTATGGTCTACGCCAGATCACCAAGAGAGTCAGAGGTATACCCTGCCATGGAGATGTCCTTGGTCGATGGCACGGAGACGGTGGACATCAATTGCGAGCGAGCTGTTAGCACTAGGCTTTGCTCACCAATCTGACAGGCAACTGCGCTTCAACGCACCACTTTTCGAGCATAGACCTCACTCGATTACGTGCTTGACTGCATTCTTGCTTCCGGCCTCCGATCCGACTGCGGTGACGATCTGCTGTGTCATCCGCAAGTCATACACCGACAGATTCCTCAGCGATGTTTCCCGAACCAACTTTCGTGGTGTTGCAAGCTGTGCAAGAAAGCGGCTGAGACAAAGTGCCCCGCCAGAACCATTCACTTCGTACAATGCCAGAAGCATTAAGTTAAAGTTTGAGGACGACACGCTCCAAGAAGCGTCGGTTTCTACGAAAGCTTGCCACAGTTTGTGCCGCCCAGTTTCGCAAGGACATGAGAGAGACCTGCCGTTCCAAGCTCCTCAATCTTGTTGCAAAGGACAAACAGTTTCTCCGTCAGCTCCGTCGGATCCGGCACGCGTCCTTTGAGAGCTTCGAGCTGAGACAAACACGGAAACGGAATCCCTAGGAGCAATTTCAAAACGGTTGCTCTAACGTTCATGCCAAAGCTCCCAAGGCCAAAAGGCAGGACTCTTGAGAGCCACCCATGGCATTCAAACCTCGCAGCAGTCAGCGACTCTTAGCCTAGCTCCCGCGCCACGCCGAGCAGAGGAGATAAGCCTACGACTCGGTAATAGGAGCTTTACTGGAAGGAAATGCGAGCGGAAACCACACAACAATGAGCTGCCCGTGAAGTCAAGCTTCGCGATGTACTCTGGGATTTGCTGGGGTTATCACATGTACATGTCTGTCTCTGAAGTCAAAGTCACTCATGTCGACTGCTCGGTCATACCAGGCTCACTACCGCAAAGCCGTCACGAAGTGGCACTACACATTGACGCACACTGTCAAGAAAACCTATAATGAATCGATTCAGACAAGATGCGAATCAAAGCAGAAGCTGTTATCCCCAACATGATCAGGACAATTCCGTTGAGCATGACCACTATCCCAATGACCGCGCTGGTTAACTGCTCCAAAGTGTGCTCGGCAATCGCCGGGGCAAATGCTCCCAGAATTGCCATCATAAGGATAAGAGATGCACTGATGATCGCATCAAAGGCATTCAGCGCTGGAAGTTTCCAGGGCCAAGAGATCAGCTGCACAATCATGTACAGGAGCATTGTGGACACAATCAGCAGCATCTGGATGTATGGACTGTCCCCGGCCAGGACGATAGCTAGAGACAGAAGCAAGCCACGGGGCAACCTTAGATCATTGCAGGGGCTCTCACAGCGGGCTTCAACCTCACCAATGCCACTAAAAAGAAGCCAAGCGGCATGAAAGTGCCAAACCACCAGCAGTCAGCACGGAAGCGGAACAGCAAAAATCGAGTTGCTGAAAGGAACCTCAATGTCAAGGAAGTGAAGTCGAGTTTCAAAAGCCTGCGAGGCCCGTGGCTTCAACGACATCTAGATTCCGATTCTTTTGCACCGGTGTAAGCACTGTATGTGCCTGCCTGTTCCCCGTTTATTGTGTTTATTGTGCCCGCAATGCCGCCGCGAGAACTACCAGGTCACACACGCAAGAGCGCCACGTGAAACAAACATGCATCTGTTCGTCATGATTCATGCTCACCGCTTCCCCACTGTCCGTAGCCGATGTGTAAATCAAGCAAAGCTGCCAGCCATTGCCGCCAGCGGCTTTCAAGGGTGCCTTGATGGTTGCCCAAATGGTCATGGCGTAGAACGACGTCATCATTGCAAGCACCAGCAACCCTGTCACAAACCTGAGCCGAGAACTCTCTTTGCTTAAGCAGCTTTGCCTGAACTCAAGATGCTCCAGATACCAAGGCACATGGGCGTGTGCTCGGTGCTCGAAAAGCAAAAGATTCCATTGTGCTCGAGCATGCCAAGTTTGCCGTTTGGGTGCGAGTAGCACATCATGGGTGAAAGAGCGACTTTGCTGTAGATTGTGAAGCTGACCTGCATGAACTGGCCCATAGTGCTGATCAGCTTCGCGCTTTCGAAAGCAAACTTGCTCGGGAGGGCTCTGCTGAGTAAGCTGCTCAGGACAAGCCAAATAATTGCAGACGGCAGAGCCGCTGCGATCAGCACGTAGCCAGTTACGGGGGAATGTGACACACAGTCAAAGCCCACAGCCTGCAAGTCGAGAGTGAAAATGCTGAGCAAGTCGAAAAGCCATTGCAATTGACGTGGCCACGAGAACGAGATGTAGCCAATGATGCCCACATTTTGCAACATGCTTATGGTCATGGCAAGCACGCAAGACGTTGCAAGGAGGGTCGTTGCCTTGGCAGTCTGCTTTGTGTTGAGGAAGTAATAGCATGCGGGTATGCCAATCATAGCCAGCACGGCTGCCACGAACCATCCAGCAACGCTGAGAGACGTGCAGTCCCTGCATTCGTCCGCCCCCCAGGCTTGCCCGGTCGGACAGTGCGTGCAAGGCACGCCAATCAGACCGCCTCTGCACTCTCCGGGATCACCGCCGGGACAGAATTCCGGAGGCAAGCACTTGTAGACATCAAAAGGCAAGGAAGGATCCGAGTAGTAGCCAGGCAGAAGCTGTGCACTTTGCTTGCCATCACACTCCAAACCCTCCTGACAATCAAGGCACTGGCCAGCCTCATAGCGAGTGTTGCCCTGGCATTGGACACACCGACCCTCCCACAACTCACCCGCACACTGACATGCCTCCACGTCAATAGCACCAGCGAAAACGGTGCTTCGCCCGGCAGGACAGGCAGAGCACAACTCCAGCCCTTTCTCCGGGCCATACGTGCTCAAAGGGCATCGGGTGCAAGATGTGGAGGAGGTGTTGTCTGCATAAAATCCTCGACCGCACAGCTCACATGCATCCGCTCCCAGAACATTGCTGAAACTGCCCTTGTCGCAAGCATGGCAACTTGCCACACCACTCTCGTTTGCAAAAGTACCGACTCCACACGGAGCACAGGCTTCCGCACCAGCATTTGCATACTTGCCGGACTCGCATTCGATGCATTCTAGCTGTACCGAGAACACTGAGCCTGCCTGGCATTGACTAATCCGGTCTGACGGCACGAAAGCCATGCTCATGTCGCAAGACCCAGTCCTGCAAGGAACGATTTTGGTGCCGTCCGTTGGGCTCCAACGGATATCTGCGAGCCATTGGATGCCATCGCTGGCACGGTAAGCCAAATCTGAGAACTCATTGCCTGTACTTCCGGTGATTTGGCGCAACAGGTTGACCCCGTCTCGGTCTCCGTAAGACGGTGGATCAGTCACCGGGTCAACGTCGTTGAACTGACGTACTCGACCTGTGACACCCAGGTAGTCTTGACGAAGAGACAAGTCGTACAGGGCTTGTCGAGATGACTCAGTTGCAAGGTCTGCTACGGAGTGGTTCTCCACGGTGAGGTACGCATGCAAAATGGCGGCGAGGTGCCAGAGCCCATCATAGAAGTAGCCGGTCCAAACGGTGTCACATGCACCCCGCCCATTGCCGAACTGTGCACACTGCACCAAATAGTCCTGCAAATATCTACAAGTTTGGGTCTGGGTGGTGCTCTATTGCTTCGGCTTCACGGTTCACAGAAATCCATCGGCTCCCTTTGGCGAATCTTGGCAACTCATGTTGACACCCCCCCCCGCTTCTGACAGCTCACCTCGTCTGTTCGGTAACTGAGACTGATATTTTGCGGGCCTTCGCAGCTTCTAAAGCTGTTACATGAAAATGGCACGCACACACACAGATACATACACAGACAGACACACACACACATACCCAGTCGAAGCTGGTTGTCTCGTCATCATCTCTCTTCACGCTGTGAACTGTGCACTCTTCGAACTGTAGAACTCTGGTCCAGAGGTCTTCAAGATGACTTCAGAATTGCTAAAGAGGAATCTTCAGAAAAAGACATTAATCTTGGGTATTCAGAATTTTCGCTCGGATGTCTTTTCAGGATGGTTAATGACAGTTTTTCAAGGCTCATTTTTGACATCTCTGCAGGTACGTCCAGGTGATCAGCCTGGATATCCTGAGGTCATACGAGGAACTTCGTTGGATGGAGCCTCGTATGCCTCCTCCATCCCCCTGCATTCTGGAAACCCACTGGAATGTAAGAGAGTCTTCCCTAGGAACAGGAATTCCACACACACCTACCCGGTCATAGCCGGTTAAGTATCTCGGACAATACGGACCACTCATCCTTACCTAGATGGATGCAGTTGGTGCTAGATAGTTACATCTTTTCACGCTTTCAGGTAGGTATAGCAGCGAAAACGAGAACAATGTTCTTGTCGGTAAGACAAACATAGGCGCACTCCCTTGCAGACGCGCAACAGCAACAACACCAACAACAACAACAGCAACAATGCTACAACACCAACACAGGCAACGAAAACGACGACGAACAAACGGCAGCAA